ACTAGTGTAGTTCATTGCCTTTATTTAACCATTTCATATAAAAAGACATAGATCTAGATCGTGAACAATAAAAGGATTGTGAATAAAAGTTACCTTCGAATCCCATCAGAGTTACCCAGCGGAGATTAACCCTATAGGATTTTTTTTAAATATTTTGTTTTGATTATTTCATTATTTGAACTCCTATAAGGGAATATTCTTATATCCCTATTCAGTATTCTGATTTACTGTGTAAGGAATGTAAACCCTAAATTCTAAATTGTTTCTGTTTATAGTTGATATAATTCGACATTTTTGTTTCCTCTAGTTTTGGGCTTTTATATGACCGTCCCCATACCCTGTCCAGTAATGGGCGCCACAACATACAACCGCTTCAATACCCCATTCGGTATAAGTATAATTAAACTAATTTCTAACTCCGTTTGGTATAGGACTTCCTAGCCCCATACGGCTGAGGGTAACGTCTACGGTAGGGTTCACCCTATGCACCAAATCCATGTACTCTTTCCTATAACACTTGTTAAGCCCTTTTATTCAATACCATTAATTCACGTACGTCATTTCTTTTATTTACTATTTAGCCTTGAACAACACGTATATCAACATCCCAAGCAATATAAGAGTACAAAATTCATATTTCAAAATGCGTGAGCGAAATATAATGCATTACGCTGACTGAAACGTGTTATGCTGACAATAGAGCAACGTAAAATATAGATTAAGAAACCATATTATGCTAACCATATATTTAAAGCAAATAAATTGGAATAAATATAATCGTAAATAAATAAACATAATAAAGCGATTGGAGAAATAATTAGCACAATTAAACTAATAACAAGTATAGATGAACTAGTTACTAGCTCCATCAATAACCTATACTTAATTAATCAAAGGATCGCCAATTATCTAATATTTTTATTTAATATTAATTTAGTTTTAATTTAACTGTAATAGAAAAAAAAGGTGAGAGATTCTTACCCTAAATCAGTGTCCGGAACACAATCTTTTTTATTGCATTTCTTGATAAGATTGCAACATATGTCAAAATGATATGAAAATACACGAGAAACAACAAAAAAGGACAAAAAATCTCACTAGGGGTTGAGTTGGGATTCCAACGCGGCACCGTCACCGTGCTCCGCCGCCTGATCCTCCTCCTCTGGCGGCTCCTCCTCTTGGCCAGACTGATTTGGATCGGCTCTTGGTGAAAATCTCTTTCCATCATGGTTAAAGGGTGTTTTTTAGTGAATGAAGGGGAAAAACAGGTGTTTACTAGCAGTTTTGGTCCTCTGGTGCGGCGGTCCAGCCGAGCTCTGTTGTCCCTTTCTTACGGTTTATAGCTTTTCTTACGGTTTATCCTGCACTGAAAACACATTAGATGGCTAAGGCGGAGAAATGGGAAGAATTGGAAGAATATTTTGGCTTACTGAAGTATTTTCAGTCTCCAGCACAGTGGTGCCATCATCCCTCCAACGGTTGAGCTTTTTTTCGGTCGCCCTTCTTTTTCTTCTCCGGTCAGAGGCGTCAGCTAGGATTTTGCGGGTCATCCGAAGCGATGCTTAAATATCCCCCTCCCATCAATCTGGGTCGTCCATCCAGGTTCGCGTGGATCATCCTCAGCCGTCAGATCTCGTTTATTCGAAAAATAAATTCGAGCCGTCTGATTGAAGACATGCGGACTGTTCGATCACCCTGGCACGTGGATATGATGCGTGGAGTTCGTATCAGTGTGTTCACCACACGGCGCATCTTGACTTGTCGTGCTGCTGATGTGGGCGTCCTACGTAGTCAGTACTTTCTCTTTTTACGATTTGACACATGTTTTCAAATATTTTTTTAAAGATACCCCTTTATTTAAAGTTTAACCCTAACTTCTTAAAATTGTTTTAAAAACACTCAAAGTGCATGTTTCTAAAAATAATAATAATAATAATAATAAACATATTTAAAGTTAAAATTCTTTAATTTTTATTATTAAAAAATACATTAAATTTCACCATTCTGAGTCAAATTCTTATATTCGGGGTGTTGCGTTATATATCACATGTAATGTGATATATAAAAATAATCCAATTTTTAATATTTTTGATTAAAAAAAGTTAAAAATTAATAATACAAAATAAAAGAAATGAAACAAAACAAATATTTTTTAAGTCCTCTTATTGAAGATAACTTTATAGAACTTCTATATTAGAATTTACTTGTTTTTATACATTAGATATCATGAGATGTCTGATATATAAAAATACTCAATCAAATCACATTACATGTTGTAAAGTCTAGTTACACGTGATAAATGTGTTAATAACATTAGCAAAAGTTAACAAAGATGAACTAAATTGAATAAATCTTAAAAGTACAGAGACCAAAAAAAAAAATTTAAAAAATAATTAGAACAAATCGAATAAAATGAAATATTAGGGAGACCAAAAACTAATTATACCATCAATTATGCACAAACCCAAACTCTTTTCTGTATTAATTTATTTTTTTTGACCTTTTAATGCCCAAATTTAATTCAAGTCTAAAGTCTAAATTTTAAGACCCAATTCCCAAACCGGATTTAAACTTCAACCCATTTCTTTACAGCCCATTTTTGTTCTGATTTCTTAAAACCCATCTCCTCTTTAGACTTAAAAAATCAAAATTCTAAATCAAAGTTGGCCCAGCCCTCCCAAATTGTCGACTATGCACTCCCTTTTCCCCAATTTTCTCTATAATTTTGTGCATGATTTTGTAATGGAAATTCATAATGTAAACTCTTGATTTGAGCCAAGATTCTGATTTGGAAATTCATTCAAATGAATCCAGAAGTGTGCGCGGGGAGAGTCTCCCATACATGGAAAGCAGAAAACTGGAAAGCCTCTCTCTAACAAGACAACGGGCTAACTGGTTGCAAGAATGTTTAACTCAGGACACCTTGATGTCCGGTGGGAGTTTAAGAATGGTTCTGCAATTCTCAACTAGAAAACTATATTCTGAGCAGTCTTCCTCTTCAGTCGTCAACCGCTCCGCGTACCATCTTAGCATCTACTTTAACAGTACCTGGTCCCGGACAGTGGGTAGTTCAGGGTATTCCTGTACGCAATGAGCTCTGCAAGATAAGGGGACCTGCAGTCAGAGAGTTTCCAGGATAATAAAGCTATCGACAGCCCGTCCTTATGAATCTCTGACAGCCGCACCAAACCCAGCATCGCCAGTCGAGTTGAAAATGGTTCCGTCTACACTGCACTTCCACAGACCCCGTTGCGGAGTCTGCCACCTTTCCATATTGTTGTGAAAGAACAATCAATACGCACGATGTTTGAGTTTGAATTAAAATAAAATAGTTTTGAAATGTGCATTAACGAACTCAATTTGGTTTTTTAATAAAATGGAATTCAAATAGTAATTGAAAGAGTTCTAAAAAAATGGGGTTGGTTAATGTTTAATTAATTCATATAATGTTGGAAAAATTATTTTGACATGTTCAAGATTTTATTTTAATTTTAAATATTGCAATATGTTTATTGTTTTAATAATTTTGAAATCTGTGCCATGTGTGAAACATTTTTTTTTTTAAAAAAAATAAATGAATAAATAAATAAAATTGTGAAGAATGTTCAAGTGTAGAAGCTCACAGATATTTTAATCTCATTTTATTTGTCTTCTCACTAATTCCCACAACCCAAAAAGTTAGAAACCATTGATTACTAAACTTTTATTATGAATAAATGTCATAATTACATGCTTTGACAATAGTTCAAAGTTACTAAAATATGCATGCAAATAGATTATTCCTTATTTTTCTTTTTATGAATTTTTGTCTCACTTCACTGATATCATATTTAATAATTGGTGAGAATAATATTCTATTGAGTTTATTATGTAAAAAAAATTATTAATTTAATTAAATTTGTTTAAAAATAATTAAATGAATGTTGAGTTTTAATATATTAAATAAAATGTAAACTTTTTATGTACAGAAATAAAAAAAAAATATTATTTTTAATTTTATAATGAGTTAAATTAAAAATAAAAAAAATTTAAAGATATAAAAAAATAATTATGCTTCCCTAATTATATGAAGATTTTTTTTTTTTAATTTTGTTATTTTATCATAAAAAATAAAGAGAGGGTAAAAATTTCGAAAAACTACATATTGATTTGTAAAATTTACCGCATGATTCGATAGTATGTTTTAAATTTAGACCTACTTTATTATTAAAATTCCTACATATTTTTACCCCTTGAAATCTTTTACGTTCTTAACAAAATATCCAATTTATTTCTAAAAGTTGGCAAGATCGAATTCGTGCTATGAGTGGATTGAATTTTTCGAGTCATTTAACCTTGTTAGATTTGTAATAATAAATTCACATCTAAAACAAAAAGATAAAAGTTCAGTTGATACATTTTAATAAAGAATAAGAAATAAAGTATTTGTCTTTATTTTTTTGTTAACATAAAAAAAGTTCCTCTGATTTCTATCTCCTTAAGACACTCTTAATTCAATGATTTAAGTAATTTTGTTATTCACTTAAAATACTATTAAATACTTAATTCTTTTTTTATTAACTAAGTATCTTTAAATGATTTTAAGAAAGAGAATTTTGATCCTTAAATAGTGCTTAATTTTGTTTAAAATGTCTAAAGTAGATGTTAATTGTCGATTAAGCAAAATATTTTTGGTTTTTTTGAAAGGCTTGGAAAGAATACACAAAATTAAGAAGAAAAAAAAATTGTTGTTGTTTTTTTCCGTTGAATACGAAGATGAAGGAGAAGACTTATTTTTACTTATGAGACGAAGACACGAGGGAAGAAAAAAAAAGTTAAATCTTAAGCTCTTATTGTTGTTAAGACAAATTGCTCTTTCTTACTCTTTTATATAATTATCGAACATGGAATGATAAAGAATTGACATATTTGAACTTATAATGAGCGCACACAATCATTGAAGGCAAGAATGAAGATGCAGAGACATTTGAAGAACCAAAACGAAGAGAAAAGCAAGTTATTATTCACCCAATAGATAATAAGCACCAAGCTAAGGAGTACCAAAATGAGTGCACACAATCATTGTCTCAGACCAAAAAGATAATATTTTCCCAAATAATCCAAATAGGAGAAATTAGATGGAACACCCACTTCTTCCTTTTCTCTTTTCCCTTACTCAGCATCTGCAAATCCAAGCTCTGACAGCTTCAAATGAGCTTCTGCGTAATCTGCAAAGAAGGCATCCTCATCTGCAGCATACTTCTCCACAAGGGGACGGAAGACAGGATCCTCAAGAAGAGCCTTGTCTGATGGCAACTGAAGAAGATCTTCTTTCTCTCCACTTAGAAGTTCCCTGTTTGAAAAAAAATGATAAGAGTTAGATGGTTGCTCCTGTCTTTTTCTTTTGTAGATTTTACTTATATATAGGTGCAAAACTATATTCAGAACCATTCATTTCGATTTAGGCGAGAAGAACTACAAGAAGTGATGATCTTACTTGAAATAGGAGTTATCGAAAATGAGAGGGTTGGTGGTCCATGGTCCCTCAAATCCAGAACGCTCCTTGTGGCACCTACCCTGAAATGGTAACCAGGTAGGTTGATCAGCATGGCAAAGAAAAACCCAGAACAATTATAGGATTTTATTCCAAGAAATAGCAATTTAAAAGGAACCAGCTTTGTCAACTCACCAGAGTGTGACCACCAGATAATGCAACAATGTCTTTGTCGCTAAGACCCATGTGGCCAAACACATCCCTCAGGTGATCAGAACCTATTAGCAAGATATTATGTATATAAGCAATTCTGAAGAAGAGTTGAACGGTTGACTTCGGTATTTCTGAACTACAGCAAATTAACTTACCTTTAGTAGCATCTGGCAAGCGGCCCTCTGGAGGTGGGTCTTTCTTGTCCTGAAGCAAAACTGAAAATTCAGAATTCTTGAAGAAAGAATTTATAGAGATTGAATAAAACCTATTAGTTTTTGCTCTTTCCCCTCTACTGCAAGTTTTACATGTTTTGTTTTAAGGAATGGACAGCACATTTCAAGTATGCACAAGTAGAACTGATAGATGCTTAGCGCTTCCAAAGATAGTTAACATCGTAGCAAAGGGAAATTTGAATGCTAGCAGATTTGTTCTTTATTCCGGTCCAAGCAAGTGAAATGTTGCTTATCCTCAAAAACTTAAAAAGATTAAACCCTATTAGTTGTAGAAAACTGTGTTATGTAAATTTATCACATAACCATATACATATACTTGTGGAAAATGAAAACAATTGAAAAACGACAAAATAAAAACATAAGCTTTAAAAATATTCTTTTTCCCAAAACCATGTTGCATTTTCACTATCACCTTTCAAATCTTATTATCATTGAATCAATGTGTGTATAACATATACGAGTTTCTGAAAAACAAAAAATTCCCGTAATTTCAGAAATATAAAGGATCCCATCTTATACATACATACCCAGGAACATAATAATAAAAAAGAAAGAAACATTATCTTAATTTTATCAAACATAGTTGTGCTAAAGCTTCATCTAAGGTTCACATGCAACATTTTCTCAAGTCCTACCGAAATTAACGTAATCACAGGCAACAATTTTCCTTTCCCAATATCAAGATAAGTATCATCCGATTTTCCAGTTGAAAATACTTTTTTTTTTTTTTGAAAAATTTCCTGCTCAAAAGATAATACATAAAGGAACAAAAGTAAGGAGAATCACTGACCGGTCTTCCTGGGTGGAAAGGAATCTCAGGTCCTCCGGTGATTTCAACGGCAACAACTCCAGCCAACTTCACCCATCAAAGACAGAACCCAAGATCATTTTACAAAACCCCAAAAAGTAGCCAAAAAGGGAAAACAGAGGGAAAAAGAAACAGAACTTCCATTGATGAATAACAATGATAACAAATTACCTGATAGAAATCCGCATAAGATAAGATCGGGAACTGCTCCTTGATAGGCTCCAAAAGCCTGACAGCAATATCAAGACCATTGTTGGCGGCATGAGCAAGTTCTGCTGGGTGCTTCATCGTCCCGAACGGCCCACCTGTCTTCGTCTTCACATCGAAAGTCCCAGCTGAATGCCATCTGCAAAACCCAAAAAGAAAAACATGAATCCATGAAAACCCATAAATGGAGAAAGAGAAATATAGAGAGAGAGAGAGAGAGCGTACGCTAAACGAAGCATTAGGGGAGCACAGTTCTTCTCAGCGATCAATCCTCTAAGCTTCCTCTTACATTTCTCCACAGCCTTCTGGTACTCTTCACTCACTTGCGGATACGCCTTCACCATGGTCAACGATCTCCTGCAAACCCATTTCGATTCATCAAAAAACAAAACTTCCCAACGATCGAACCAAAATCAAACGAACTCAACACAAACCCGTGAAAACCCAACCAGAAAAAGCCCAGCACTCACCTTGAAATTACCAGATGCAAAGAATACAACTCACAGACACGTTCTAAACACAAGCCTCAGAAAATGGCATATGCGGCTGGAACGGCATCGTGTCTGAAGATATAGGGGTTTAGGGCTAGAAGATTCTAGTACGCTTCTATCAGCCGTTAGATTAATCCAATCAAACGGTGGATATGAGCCCTATCGTTCAGAGTGGGATCCATATTGACTGACCGAGGAAATGACATCATGACAGCGCCCGCCTGAGTATACGCGACAATATAAACCCCATATCAAATAGAATCTCGCCACGTGTACGATCGGCGTCTGACAACATAAATCCCATATCCAATATCATTTCGCCACGTGTACGGTAGCGTGGCGTGGCACGTTCCCACCCAGTTTTTGATTTTTTCAGTCGCGGTCAGAGTTTGGACTAATAGACGTCTAATTATTCTTCAACTAAAGAAACGTTTCTTTTTTTCCTTGTCGTTTTTGGTGGCATCTAGAAACGTCCGATGTAAATCGAGTTTTTCCCATGGAGATAGGGGAAATCTAAAAATTTAATAAAATTCAACTTAGAATATTTAAAAATCTTGTAAGTCAAGAAATTTCATTCAAAAGAAGATACTCTTCACATGGTATGCAATAATATTACAATAATTAGAGGATATATCTACGGGTACAAAAGAACTTTAATTATATTGTATATTTAAAAGTTCATATTAAATATTTATTAACATTATATTTAAAATTAATAAATTAACTTAAATTTTGAAGATATTTTATCTATATTTTGAAAGATATTTTATATTTATCTTAATAAATATTTTATTTATATCTTTTAAAAAAATATATATTTATCATAAAAAATCTCTCGTAGTATCTTTTTATATATAAATTTAGTAACTTATTGGTGATATACTATCTTTTTTATTATAATAAAATACTTTATTATCAATTTTACCTGTGAGTGTAGGCATACTAACAAACCATATTAAATTTTATATTTTTTTCTTCTATACTTTGCTTTATTATGATTGTGCATGGTTTGTGAATTAATTGTTCCAACAAAAACAAACATTATAAAATCTTAATTTAAGTAACTATTGATATTTTTTCGTATAATCAATATAAAGAGTTTGCCTCTATACTCACGATAAACAATTTGTTTTTAGAGATTCACCTTAATGGTACCCTATTGCAAATGTAACCTTTTTAGCTCATCTTTTTGTTTCTTTTTTCATTGATATATGCATTAAAATTTATCTTCAAGCTCACTTTTCTAAACTTTTCTACTTTCTTTAATTGGACACAAGGTTGAAAGTAAGTAAAAAATGCACGTATAACTATAATTGAATAGAGAACATTTTTCCTTCTAATAAATCTGTGTATATAATTTATTGAACGGATAGTTATAAATAATTATATCAAATTTTTTTCATCTTAACTATTAAAAATATTTTCTTTTGCTTGAATTAGTAATGATTTCATACATTACTAGTTTTATATTATTTAAAATTTTTATGTAACAGTCCGTGAACTCCAAATGAGATAAATTATAACTTTAGTGCAGAACCGAAATAAATAGTTAGTGTTTATATTTCTTACACAATAATTCAGATCACCCAATAGGGTTATGGGAATGATCATTTTAAAAGAAATAACGAGAAATCAAAGAAATAAATAGAAAATAAATAATTAAGCATCCTACTCGCAATCCTCTTGTGGATTGAGATATGGATATTCGTCATCTTGAATTGAAATGGTTAATGAAAGAATGAACTATACTAATCCAGTAAGAATATCACGTTACTCACCAACACAAACATGAAGGTTGGTAGAAATCATAAAAAAAAATTAATAGAGTTCTTAATTTAAATAAATTCGTTTGTCATAAATAAAATTATTTACCGCATACTTACCGTATCGAGATTTTCAAAAAATCAACTTATAAAGTTAATAACATAAACAATATCAACATCTTATATTCAATCAGTCCGAACAACGACTTTTTCTTTTATCAACTTACTGGTATCCATGGGGTCTATAGGGATGTCCCTATTACATGTGAACCTTTATTCAATATTTTTAAATAACGGACCTGTAACGGCCCCGGAAATATTAAAATGAAATGAGTATTTAAATATATCAAATGCGGAAGCGAGATCAAAATTTCAGTTAACATCCCTTACACGAAAAACCAGAAACGTACTTAAAATATAAAAGATTAAACTAACTAAGAGAGAAACTCGAAAATAAAACTATGAGTATGACTACAGAGTCTCTAGGTATCCCCTTCGTCGTCCTCCTGCGGAACGGGCTCGGGAACCATGTCTCTGATCTGAAATGTAAATAAGAGTGAGCTACACTAGCCCAGTAGACATCACGATATCT